TTTGGATAGGAAAGAAGATAACTGATTGTGAACAAGGCGTTCCAGCACTTTGGATAGGAAAGGTAGTATGGAAATAGGTCTATAGTCGGAGAAAGACAAAGGCTTTGATTTTTTAGGTAATGGGATAACATGGGCTTCGTTCCAGGCAGACAGAAAAACACCAGTGCCAATTGAATGGTTAAGGATATGTGATATGACAGGGAGGATCTCATCTAGGATGAGGATGATGGAATGCTTTTCTTTGGAATTTCAAATGGTTTTAAATAAATCCTATAAAAAGATAGGTTCCTGCCATTTACATAAACTATCCTTTCTAATCATGTTTATAGTCCGTGTTGTTTGTGTACCTTCTACACGAGTTCAATTCTTATGACCATCTACATAACGTACTCGCTGGCACTGTAGTAGCCTGAGTAACTACATATTTTAAGTTTATACAGACATTACTGTATTTATACTTTCTCACTTTATATAGACGTGTTTTATTATCTCATTCAATTATTGTTTGCTAAAAAATTGTTCTAGAAAAAGAGTTTGCATAACCTAATCCGCACGCTAGATTACTTAAAAGTAAGGCAATGAGAGTTGAAGGCCACAAAGTGTTATGCCTACGCCTTGCTTCCTTGACATTAACAAATTATTGGAAGCTCGTTAGTTTTTGTACTTGATGATACCATCTGATAATATAACATTAATTTCAATATTATATATGATCCAGATCTTTCCACATGCCTGTATCAATAGAGCATTGTTTTTAAATATAACATCTACAGTATCTGTCAGGTCAACTTTTTGCCTCAACTTTTCGTTCCAAGTATGTATCTCGACTGCGTTTATTTAACTTGCATGCAGTCTTTTACATATTCAAATCTCACATTAGCGTTGGAATCAGTATCGCATTGTGAACTGTGCATTTCGCTTCAGGTTTTACTGCCAAGTAGTATTATTCCTTTCGCTCCATTTACACTGTTCCCTGTACCTACTTTCATATCCACGATTATACCAGCGATGCAAATACCTTCTTACGCAAATACTAAACGCAATTCTAATGTAAACAATAACATTCACTTATTTCAACGCTACATCATCAACAGTCCTTTGGGCGTTCAACACGGTGTCTAATAACATTTTCACCAGTTACTCGTATTTCATCATCATCATCATCATCAGCCCTTTATTTCGTCCCCACTGCAGGAGCTCAGGCCTTCCTTATGGATGGTTAAGGAGCACGGGCCATGACCTTCCACGCTGGTCCAATGCGGATTGGCGGGTATTAACGACTACAAATGCAGCCCGGACCAACGGCTTAATGTGCCTTCTGAAGCACGGAGTAGCTCGAGATCATATTTTTTGGTCACTCATCCCGTGAACGACCCTTGCGAAAGTTGCTTAACGGCAACGATCGTGAGCCACGGCGCTTATCCACTATGCCACCAAGCTACTCTACTCGTTTTTGACATCTTAAAAATTACATACTCATAAATAAAATCAATTCTGGTTTTATTTTGTCAAATGATATTTTATTTCTATTAGATCTTACAAGAAGCCAGGCGATATCCATACATTTCATAGTGAAATCAATAATGTTACATTGGTTGCGAGGAAGTACACCTAATTACTAATATTCAATATTAAAGCCATAGACGTCTTAGAGCATAAGTACATATTAAGAATTATAGTCATAATTTATTATTTTATACATAATGTTTGATATGATTCTTTTAGATATCTAATCGAATTTAATTCATTGAATTTCACATTTTAACATTATTTTAATTGATTACATTTGGAAATGTCTTAACCGAACTCAACAACAAAAATTTCAAGAGAACAATATCCATCTAAATGGCACGGTATTGTAATAATAACCATCTCTCTATTAATCAACAAATATACAACTTACAATAGGTTGTCAAATATTATAATTAACGCTAATGGTATATTATTCTACTTTATTAGTAAGTACCAAGTATTGACAGTGGCGCCGATGTTCTGGCATAACAATCTATCCGAAAATATGTATGTACGTTCTACCTTATTTAATAATAATATAAAATGTCTTCAATATTAAATTTAAACATCTTATCACAATAATCTCTAGTGAAATCTACTTTATCCTTAGTTTTCTTATATTCATAGCATTAACTGAATTACTAGTTGTACTTAGTTACTTTAGATAGTTTTTAGTACCGTTACCAAGCGTCACTATAGTAGATATGTACACAGATATATACAATTATCTTAATATTAACTATTACATTATTTTGAATTCTACAACGAAACTAATAATGAATGCCTACCGATGTGTCTACCAATAGATCTTCAGTATTGTGTCCAGCTTTTGGCTGAAAAAAAAGAAATTATATTTATTAAGATACTTCACATTGCACTAGGTTTGCTTTTGATGTAATTCAAATTACAAAGTTGCTTGTCTTGTTTTACTTAATTAAAACTACGAAACAGTTTTATTCATTATAGATGTATAATAGTAAAAAACGTACCTTTATAATGCATGTCTCGGTGCATACTGGGGCAAGTTTTTCCGGGATACTGAAATTTTCATATTAGTTTTGTAATCATCTTTTCTATTGAAATCATAACTTAATATTATGTATGTTTAGGATCATATTACCTTGCTCAGGTCGAAATCGATGTTGGTTCTGACAGCGCGGTGGTGTAACGGCTGTGGTGGCCTAAAGTTGTTGCCTAGAGGGGCTTTCGGATGTCTTGCGTCACCTTGCATCAGTCGTCGCAGCCCATGCAGCTAATAAAAAAGCAAGAGACATATTCAAATAATGTATACAAAGCATACAATAATTAATACAAAATCGCTTCCGCTGTACGCTTAAATGTTTTACACTACACAACGGATTTCTATGTGGTCAATGTATACTAATAGAGTGATTCAACAGGAAGGTTTATATGTATAATACAGGCGAAGCCGCTGGAGAAAAGCTACTAATAAATATTAGACAATATTATATACATTACTGACATCCTAATTTTATAATTGCAGAAAAAATACGTTTACAAAGGTTGGAAAGACTATAAAAACAAAATAAAAACTATTAGGGCTCAATAAACTCAATAACGGCAACATCTATTACATTTTCAGCCTCCAAATTAACATAGACAGTATTTATTCGTCCATATAATGATTTCCTAATACAATCACGAAAAGCCATATAAACTGCGAAATAAACATTTGCCGGAATTATTGAATTAAACCTATTACGACTGGCTACCGTTTTCTATATTTAGCGGTTGCAAAATCCAACCATAACGGTGCCAAGTAAATTGAAATTTCTTCGTTTATATGTCGACTGTGTGTTGTAGTGAGCAGGGGATTAACGGGCCGGTCTCACGCGAACGCTATCTCATCCCCATCGCTGTTTACGCTGTATTAAACAATTTGATTCTGATTATAGACTCCACCTAAACTTTGATTTTCCCTCTACGGAACAGCAATTTACTCTTTTTACGGTCGTCGGACGATGTAAATGTGTTTGCCTTTGTAATACAGGAAATAATGTGTTATGTTAATAGCAAACTATGTTTTTTTCTGTGAAATTTTTCTCATATTGGAATCTATGTGTGATAAGTTAATTAATATTATATTCGATTTTTAATCAAATTAGCATTATTAAGGTTTATTTGTTGTTTTACATAAAGAAAAAACAATATAATTAAAATTGGACATTCAAAACTTTTTTGATAATATTGAACTTTATACATAAAAATATTTTGAATTGGCATAATTCGTTACGTCGAAATATGTTCAGCTGACGATAATATTATTGAGAAAATAAATACGGCTGCAAATGTCCTTCAGTTATAACTTCAGTGGACAATCGAGACAGTCCTGGATTACGAACATTAACCGGCTGAGTTAAAGTTTGAAACAACCTTACTTGACGCAAACGTATATTAGATTGCGTCGAAGCGACCACACGGCGTTCGTTCAAGTCCCCGCGAGATTGCAAGCAGTTTCCACTAGCACTTAATTTTCTCACCAACAAACGGAAAACATAAACAATGATTTATAATAACAGCCACACAACGCGGCACTTTCAGTTTACTTTTAACACGTACATAATTCACGGCGGAGTCTTTGTCTAAGGCGAGGGACGTGAGTTGTTTATTTACACGGCGCACAAATGAAAATGTTATTATTACACGACCTCGACCATGGCTTGAAGATCTAGCTCATATATCTGGAAATGGTAAGTTCACAGGCAAACTAATTCATATAACAATAGGATGTCTATTTAAGTAGATACATTTTATTATTAATTTGAAGTAAATATATTGATATAATATCTGAAATTGATATACTTTGCCTTCAATATCATCCGGAAAAGTATCGAGGGAGGTTATTATATAAACAAGATGAACTTAATGCCAACTTGGCGGATGCAACAGAGCCGGAGTTTTTATCAATGATGATTACTTCAGACATCCTAAATATTTATTCAGTTTTATTGAACAATTTATTTTTAAACTGCGTTGCGTGAGTTTGAATAATAATTTCAACGTGTGCTTTATCGCATGCAAATTTTATTCTCAACTTAAAGTGTTGTAGTTTCCAATGTTACACATAGATTGTTTTACATTAAATGCATAAAAATAAAAAGAAAACAAAGCGGCTAACCGCTTTTTGTAATTAAAAATATTTTATTGTATCTAACTAAATGATAAACAATTATTATTGTTTTTGCAAATTATTTACTTCCAAAAAATACAACACTTCGTAATAAAAAAAGATCAATATAACACTTAAATACAATATTTCCATTTTAAATGCGATCTCCGGAGCCGAGTGGCTAACTCGTCGCCTCACGTCGGCATGTTTGAAGTCTCGGGTTTGACTCCCGTTTGGTTCAATGTAGAAAATTAACTTTTCTCGTGGCATCTGATTTTAGTACACCCCATGTATATGATAATAATATTTACCTATGTATTTTAATTGTGTGGCTTCGCTCGTGTAGGTCGTCAAACAGGACAGATAGCCAATTTTATCGAAAAAATAAAAATATTTTACAAGTTTCGCTTTCTCATCACAAACTCAGTATAGATAGTTTAGACAAGGTAAAGCCTTAATATTAAGAGTTATCTTATCAATTTATACTAACTCTGTGGCAAAGATTTAGAATGAAGGAATGCTTGTAATCGAAAAGGCGGACGAACTTATTCAAAACAATTAAGGACAGAATAAGTATTTAAATTTAATTTTACTGAATGCGTTTCTTAAAAAAATATTATCAGCCAGTTGCACAAACTTTCATTAAAATTGCCATTAGTTTAATGCTATATTACCTATACGGAGATTCAAATTTATAACATATATTAAAGCTTAAAGTCTAAACTATTTAAAAATCTTTCAACTACGGGACTTTCATCATACATGGAAAAATAATGTACACGGGCTAAGTCGCATTTACGTTTCAATTGCCTTCAAAAATGGAAGAGGTTCTCTCACAAATCTTTTAAAATATTTTATTGAATGTTCGAATAACAATTTTAAAAGTAAAATTGAAGTTGACATACTAGACTCAACTTGTACGACGATGATCCGTGGGAAAATTTGTATATAATATTAAATGACTTATCCCTGAAAGTTATGTGATAGTTAAAAATTTAAGACGCAATCTTAAATTTCGAGGTATTTTTTTAGACCACAGAAATTAAATCGCCTGTAAAAAAGTTCTTGTCAATGTATATTATATCCATTTAAGATGAGTAAAGTGAATAATGAATAAAATTACCTGCTGCTTAGTGATATATATGGGTTTGTTGATGATAATCCACGTGACCGTTTCGAAGCACGCCGGCGCTGTAGTGGAACCGTCGTACGTCATATAATAATCTGTGTCGGGGAGTAACCCACGTACGGACAACTTGTTGACTGGCATCTCGGCTCCTTTGAACAAACAAATTCTAGCATCATCAGCCTATTTATATCTCAAGCTCCCACTGTAGATATAATCGCATAGGGAGAACGGTAAACAATCATGTGGGCTCGGTGCGGACTGGTGGGCGTTAACGTTTGTAAGTCCGGTCGTCAAACAGATATGATTCCGTACGTATCTTTGTGACTACTGATGGATATCGTAAACATTTTTTGTTTACTATGACAAAATTAGCTACATGAATCTATGCGGGTGCAATAGCTATATGATTGCGCAGAAGTAAAGGGATATATAATACCTGAGGGTCTTAATCTGCTTGTCTACGAACGAAAATTACAAAAATTACGAACCGTTCTTACAATTTCTTTAAAATCATATGCATTAATATTATCTGTGCATCAGAAGCAGTGTTAGGGTGCTACCTCCGTTTCGTTATTGATTATTGAAAAATTTGTTCCTTTAGAGTCGTATTAGGGTTTGAAAAATGGACGAATTTTCATTTTTCGGAGAAACAGAGTAGGCCTTCGGGTCATTGTATGAAATTCTTTTTGTTCGGCCGACTGGATTATACATGCTATTCTGTTCACAAAACAATCTCGAACTCATCTTCGAAGGCAGCGCTATCACGTTATATAACTTCAGTTAAATAAACCTTTATTATCTTTTGAAGTAGGTAATAAATCATAGAGGTTTATTGAAATAAAACCTACTTCAAAAGATAATAAAGGTCCATTGACATAACAACGTTGTGTTTGACATCGCATTTGGCGCTGTTATATAATAGAATAGCAATACATATTTAATTGGCATCAACGGCTTAACGTGCCTTATGAAATATTAAAGAGCTAGAGATAAGTAAATTTTTGGTTTGTTATATTATTATACGACCATGCTTGCAAATATTTGGTTAACCTTTGTAGCGGTAGACCGAACACTTTGACCATTACGCCATAGATCTCTCCAATATACTTTCGGCCGGTTTCTGAATTGAGAAAGCACCAAATCTCAACTGATTATTCTAATTATTTACGTTTCATATGGTAAAAAGTAAAAATATATATATATAAATCAGTAATAAAAGCCTGTTCAATTGACGTTTAAAATGGCTTAACCACGGTTTGAGATGTGCTCAACTTCAAATTCTCAATTACATATAGCCCAACTCTGACTTGAAGGTAGCTGATACAGTGTAAGTATCAGCTACCTTCAAGTCAGAGTTGGGCTATATGTAATCTAGATTGATGACTATATTAAGTAAACCTGTTTTACTGTTATGATTACCTGTAAATAGCGAATATTATTTAATCATAATCACTTTTCGATTCACTCCTATTAATTTATTTAATAATGACTCCAAATGTTTTTTTTTTCTTATATTGTAATTATCATCCATATAACCCAAATAAATCTAATTACAATATCATGCATTTCATCATCATCATCGCCATCATCAGCCCTTTTACGTCCCCCACTGCAGGGGCTCAGGCCTTCCTTATGGATGGTTAAGGAGGAGATAACCCTCCACGCTGGCCCAATGCGGATTGGAGGGTTCACCATTAATTTAAATAAATAAAAAGAAAACAAATTTGAAAAGGCAAGGTTTACCTTAGGTTTGGGAAGGACTGAACATTCAGTAATAAAGTAACACTCCATCTATCGACCATGATATACTAATCGCACAATTAAGACTGATAAGTAGATATTCTAAAGGGTAATCTCTAACTACTTCCAGTAATTGATACTAGATGGCGCTACGTCTGACAAAGAAATATAGGAAATCCTTAGAAAATAATTTTGAGTTCTTAAAAGGAAAAACATGCAAAACTAACAACTACCTTAATAAATAAATAATATACTAAATATCTTGACATTAATATCAAAATATTTCGTGGCGGAATTCATGACAGTTCGGGGATTGGCGCCAAAACGAAATCTTATAAACTCGTTCGTGATTGGTGGATACTTGTGATCGGTAATAAAAGCCGGCGGGAAGGGATTCTGGGGGGGAGAGGTATAAAAGGGAACGTGAGATCGGGGTAGGGGCTTTTTTGGTGAGAGACATCAACGGAGACGGAACTCGGGACGTCGTGGGCTGCAGAAGGGCTGAGGATAGGCAGAGGATCTTTGGCAAGTTTTGGGTCCAGGGCTTCCGCTTTGGACCACAAGTAAGTGCCATTAGGGAACGTAGGCTTATTAAAAGTAGGGAGGTAGGATTAGGCGAAGTTTCTTTGTGCAATTTGTGTGTTTTATCATTAATTACTTTATAATTATGCCTTTCAGATGTTTTATATTATACTATGTATTTATATACTTAACATACTACTCAAATAACACATAACTAACCTGACATAAGAAAATAACCACTTTGAATTGATCTAGTCAGTTTCATAATTCTAATTTTCAATTTAAATTTCTAGCGGTCCAGATTGGAATGAGAATTCTTATGTGTTTCACTTTTTCTTATTTGGACTCTTTTTGAGTCTGTTCGTACTAAATTTTATTACTAGGTTTTCATAGTTTTCAAAGAAGTCACAGTATTGGGTTGTTCCGATCATTCGTTAATATCGCAGGTGTTGTCCGTCATTTGAATGTATGGTTCGGTGAGATATCAGTATCAATGATCCCTATCTCATGCTGGGTCAGGATGGTGATCACCGCCAGTATCGGAAGCGTGTGAGATAGCTCGGTTGATTACCTGTGCCATCAGCTCAGTGGACGGCAAATAAGCCTGTTATATTGACGAATAATTGTGGGACTTCGCTTTATTGTCCTTCTGATGTGGTATCTAATGTTCCTGGATGTGTGTTCCATTTTGGTGAGGTCCTGTTCGATATGGTGTTAGTTCTCGCCGTATCCCGTACTGGAGTGGTCCAAAGGGCGCATTCCCCTTGGTACCGGTGGACGACAATTGATGCTATGTCGAACTATGTTCCATTGTCTTTATGGAGGACATCAGTCTGGGTATATTAACGAACCACATAGGGTTTTCTTTTGCTCTTTGGCAGAGCAATTCTTTTGTTTGATGGAGGTGTAGCTTTATTTTCTGGTTAGAAAGGTATTCCTTGCTGGACCGCTTAGAGTTAATAATGGTTAAGGGGCCGTGTGGTGGGCCCTGGGCTTTGAGCGTGGTTGGGGCTCGAAAGCACTTTAAACATTAGCAATGCTGTATTTATTTTCTTATTTTTTATACATATTCCCTGGCATTGCTGGTGTTTACTTACCTTATATCCTTTCCTATCCTATATACTGATTTTATAATTTTCTTTTAATATTTTAAGCCTTATTTTAGTAAACAGTTTCTTATATTTTATTTACTTACCAAAGAGAAAACTTTTACTTTTATTATTTTATGCATGACAATGTTTTATCATCTTTTAGGTTTGTTTAATTTATTAGTTTAAAATCTAGTCTTTTACATGCCCTCAATAACATATACTCTAACCACTCACAATCACCTTCATACAAAGAATCTAAGGTTGCTACAAATACAATACACAACGAGGAGTCCTGCCACTAGACGATCACAACTTTATAATGATGGCCAATATTTTGTTAATATTTATTCTATTAAAGTTTTATTTTAAATAATTCTTTTAAATATAATTAACTATTTATAATTATATGGGTGTATAAGGGGGGGAAACGTTACAATTGGTGCCAAGTGACCAGGATGTGAGGTCTCAAGTATTGTGAGAAGTAGGAGTATCCTGGGGGCGTGAATTTATTCTTAAATACTAATTTCATATTGATTTAAATTTGGTTTCACTTCATTTTGGTTTCAAACACTAAAGGTCTTATAATTATTAAATTTTTACTGGTAGGTTAGTAATTATGTGAATACTAGCTTCATTAGTTCTTGATTGTTGTTAGGTAAATAAAAGAAACACATTATTTTAAATAATAATATGAAATAACCATTTTAATTTAACTCGCTGGATAGCAATTAATTCACTATAAAAAGTTCATTTGATAGAAATAAATTCACTTTAATGTTCTTTCTTCAATATGTGTGCATGCCTGTTTTAATTTCTGTGCTTTATTTAGTAAACTAACATGTTCTCTTGCAGGTAATACGACAAAATATGTATTTCAATATCCACATCTTTTATTTCATTTACCTCTAATTTATATGGTTGTACTTCAAACTATTTTGTGTACCTTTTCCTTTTATTTTAATTTCTGTGTTTAATTATGTGTAGATGCCTTAAGTTGTTTCGTTTTCTGTGTATATTTTCAGTTTCTTCTTCTTACTACGGCCAGGACAATTTCTGTACTTTATTTAGTAAACTAACACTTTCTTTTGCAGGTTGTACGACAAAATAGTTAGATCAATATCCACATCTTTATTTCACTTATCTCTTATTTATATGGTTGTACTTTAATCTTAATTTTGTGTGTACATTACTTTTATTTAAATTTCTGTGTCTAATTATGTGTACATGCCTTAAGTTGTTTCTTTTTCTGTGTATATTTTCAGTTTCTTCTTTTACAACGACCAAGACATATTTGGCCAAACCAATGTCACATGAGTTTGTGTGATTGGTAGTAAGCTATTCCATCCTGATTACTTTTTCCTTCTTTATCTGTTTGTTGTCCTAGGTCTTATGATAACAAACATTCTTATTTATTTATATGCCTATATACATTATTAGGTATGGCTAGGGCTTAGGGTGTTAGTCTTCGGATAGAGTGCTAGGCAAATATATTGAGAATATTGTAATTCTATTATAGATTTTAGGTGGATAATGCACTCAGGTATAATGGTGAATATGCTCTTGATAGGTTTAGGTTCACAAGGCAATTTAGTAGCAATATCTTGATAGGATAGGTAATCAAAGCTGGAACATTATGTAGGCACAACATAGGAATTGCATTCTAGATTTTACATGCTATAGCATTTGTAAGCTCAATATAATTAGGTAACTGAAAACAAAAGAGAATAGCTTTTCAATTAGGTCAACAAGGTGGCAAATACACAAATGACCATTTACTAGGTTGAGATCTACAACTTACACAAAACACGATACCTGTTTATTGTTGGAAACAGTATGTATTGCAATTCATTATTACAAAATGTGCAATCGTATTAATTTACTAAAGTTACGAAAAATAATACAAGTATCTCAAAACAATCTTTTGGAGTAGAGTAGTAGTAGTAACTAGTAGTATTATAGTTCGTCCATGGGACAGGCGAAGGAACTAAGCCATACAGCCAAATCTTGGGTCTTTTGGAGTAGAGATAACGGATATTATAAATCGTTAGTTAAATCGATTTTATGTTTAGTGACTGAATCGAGTTACCGATTAGAAAGGATAAATATATCTATTTCACTGTCTAGCAATAAACTGACATTTATAAATATAAATGCTACCTATATATTAATGATTGATTATTGTAAGGAACTATAAAGTCAATTTTGAAAAAACATTATCTACTTAATTTCTTAGTTTTATGAACAGATAACGATTTGCTTAATTCGATTATATTATATCATCTAATCTACTCGTATGTTTGTGTAAATAGCATAGGATGCATACGGTTAGGTTTGGTGTACTACTTATTATTGAATATTGCATTAATATTGAATAACATCACCGGGATTAAAATTGCTTGAAATAGTCGCGTAAAATTTATTGTAATATTAAGTTATTTCATAATAAATACAATTTAACTTTTATAATATTAGTGATTGAATTGCGTAATAGTCATATTGATTTAATAAAAATGTCTTGAATATCATAGATGTCGCTCGTAATGTTTATGGGCTTAAGAGATACTTAACTCATTATTTTAAACACATGATACGGTTTACATATTATATCGTGTTGACGACCTCCGTGGCCGGGTGGTTCGCGCGCCGGTTTCGGGGTGTCGGCGTCTCTGAGGGCCCGGGTTCGATCCCCGGTTGGGTCAATGTGGAGAATTGATATCTG